TATTGCCCGACAGACATCGGCTCCGTTTCAACCGGCTCCCCCCTTCGACTGGCATCGCGTTACTACTCGCCCCCTTTTATTGGCAATTGGCCGAACGCGATGCTTTCATTGTGTTTGCTGAAATTGAGAAATTCCGATCGCTTCCAGAGAATAAGCGTTAATTAGCATTGTTTACCGAATATTGAACCATAAGGGAGGGTAGCTACTAGAAGATTTATGAAACCTGACAACAAATTGTATCAACAGAATCAAAATTCTCGGACAGTCCGGTGGGATTTAAGGAACACCCTGTAGAAAGAATGCAAGACGAACGAAAAGTGAGAAGCCGAAGTCTACGGTTGGATAGATAATTGGTGCAATTAATCGAAAGGCTGTCGAGCGTTTCGGAATCGAGTGACAACGTGATATTAACATTTCCTTTGGCACGCAGACGTAGACGAATCGGGGAAACGACCCGGCACCTGATCATTATTATATTTCCAAGGAAGAAAGGCACGAGAGCGAACCGATCGCATCGCTTTCGAACGAACCGTCAAATCATAACCGGTGGTTAAATCGAATTTCGCTCTTCAACGTCTGCCTTTTGATCGTTGGCTGATCTTTGCTCGAAAAATAAAAGTGTAAGAAATCCGAGATTAAAGTGAAACAATTTAATGAAAAAAAGAAAAAGAAGGAATTGAAACTAAAATCCTGTCCAAGGATAAATGAAAGCGTACCTTTTGTAAGAGTGTCCAATAAAGTTTCGCCTAAAGGAGGAGAAGGAGAATCAGGAACGGCGTAAATTCAAGCAAACAGCAAGGAGTCGGTGGTTCGCGGAGGAACACGCCTCCAACCGCGGGTCGCTTATGATTTCCCCCAGATACGCGGCCCACTTAATGGAACAGGTAACACCGAGGCGTTTCTAAAGCAAATTTCGCTCCGCTACCCGCACTCTATCCTTCCACGTCCATCTTGGCCACGATACGATCGCCGGAAGATCATAGATCAAACACGTGAACGGGCCGGGGGTTGTGACGCTGCTTATTATACATTCGTGCCACGATAAGAGGGAGCATGATGGCTACACCGAGGAAGGGGTAGATAGCTGCCGTTATAAATGTCGGTATTATGCGGAGCATCTCCTGGAAATCTCGCATGAGACCCACTGATACCTGCCATGGACACTGCTCGTTGATTCTCGTCTCGTGACCCCGCAGAAATGGCCGAATGCTCTTCAAATATCTCACCTCCTATTTTAACCCTCTGCCTTATCACCCATTGTGACTTGTATGAATTTATTTCCATCACCAGTACCTGCAGATCACGCGTCTCCGACAATAAAGATACAATTGTAGAATTGAAAATTGAGTTAGAAACGAAAAGAAGTGAATCGGCAATTAGGAAAGAATCAGGAGCACACTTGAAAATTTCAAGCACTTTGGAGGATGGTCGCGAGGCTTGGGTTGCTCAACGGTTCGGCATCGGGGGCTAATTTAGCGTGTTGGTGGAAGAGAGACGGGAAGAGATAGAGGGCGTCTAGTCGGTACCGGAACGGAAGAGAAGCCACGGGTGGCTTCAGGCCGATAACATCGAAACCGATCCTCTCATCTAGCCTCTCGAGTTAGGTAGTTCTCACTGTAGCTAATGCATGCGGATCCCCGCTCCACGGAACAACTCTATGGCGTTAAACCGGCCTCTGTTATTGTTCCAGCTGCCGTTACCGCAACCTGCGTTGCAAAAAGGTGAAAGCCACCTACCGACCAGCTACTTACTGTTTCGACGCCTCTCTCGGACTCTTTCGTGTCTCACCGTCTTACGCGCATCGGCAACCCTTCGTGGAATCGCCATTCATTCCTTCATTTTTTCCTTCATTTTGCCCATAAAATAGACTGGTTGTAGGATATGAAGGCAGTAAAATCGATGGCAGATGATCGTTTCGAAATCAGGAAGAATTGCAGGAAAGTGGTCGATTTACAACAAAAGCATCGCCCAGGTCTCGGAAAATGGCTGCGTTTAGATATTACACCGTACACGGGAAACGATTTACGCGGTGCAAAAGCGTTCTCTTTTCATGGCGCACACGGGAGCGGCGATGGTGTGTAATGAACGGAACGACCGATTTTCCTGCTAACGATGGGAAGTTATGTTGTAGAATCGGAATAAATGTTGCAGTCGTTGTACTAACTAAAATCAATTGTTGAATCTCGAGGGTATACGAAGAAATAATAGGCTACAGATTGAAACTATTTGTTTCAAAGTTTTTCTCCTTTCTTAAATTTGTTTAGACAAAATAATTTTAGATAATTATTCTAAGGTTTCTTTTTATTGTTAATTTTTCTTGGATAAAGTGAGGCAGAGAAAAAAAAATGTTCAGTTATAGTGGCAATTGGTGTAGGATGCACAATACTGTTTAGCATAAAGTTCCTAAATAATATATCACCGGGGTGGCAGCATCGAGTCGAGATAAGTAACTTCCTGCGCGCGTACACGCGCCGCGAGCGTCGCATTAACAGCGTCGGAAACAAGGCGTGTTCCCTTCTAGAAACTCTTGAACGCGGTTGTTGCAGGTGAACATAGTTACCTCGAAACCTAACATTCGATTAAAAGTATCTTTTATATAAACTATTGTTCGACTTTTTTGCCCATTTTAGGAACTTACGTCTTAAGTCTCAAACTCTAGGTAATCTAAAATTAATTAGCTAAACGATTAAGAAACTGAGAAATGATTTTTTACACAATTTAAAGTCTTATTTAATCAGTGAATTATAGAATTCCAAAGCAGGATGGCCGTAATATCATCAGATTACGTAAATGGGATTTCCGTGTTACCTTTGATGGGACTGGTCTCAAAATTAACTCGCATTGTGTTGAAGCGAATTAACCGCAATACTGTTCCAATAATACACCCATCGATACTACATGCTATCAATCATGATATGATCGTAACGTAACGCTAAACATACCTAAATTTCTGGGTCCTCGTAATTTCGTTAACCACACTTAATCGAAAAGTCAAGTTGCAAGCCATTTTTCCTCTCGCGAAAAGTGTCGAGATAGAAAAGAAAAAGAAGCGGTGCCATGATTCGCGAAGAAGTTTCGGTTACATCCAAGGGAATTTATTGCCTCATTTGTCGGGACGGCCATTCGTCGCACGTTTTACACGACGGTTAAGACCGAGAGGCGTCTGGTGATCGCGCCTCTTCAACACGGAGACAGAGAAAGGGAGGAATCCTCGTTAATAAGCAAACTTCCTGGAACGGGATGAAAAAATATGTTTTTGCAGGCACGCACGATACGTGTCACGATTTTATTATACTCACTACTTCCGACGATGCCACGTATGACGGAAACCGTAGGAAGGTGTTGCTGTGAACCCCTGATAATCGATGGGAGTCAAATAAGCCTGATGATTCAATTGTTTCTTATGAACGCTTCAATTTTTCGATGCCTAGAACTGGAGTCGTCGCGAAACTCCTTAAGAGACTTTGGTCGCGGGATTTAATGAGACCCGGTGCTCACGTTACTGCCTGTTCCTCGCATAATTACGCTTAATGTTCGATGCGGTCACGTGGTCGTGATATTATATGGCGGCATCGAGGTCAGACCGAACATTTCGTTAAAAGAGCCCAAATCGGCCGCTTCCGGTACGCTATGTGCGCAGGCGACAGGTCAGCGGATGAGGTGGGGCAGCCATTTATGAACCTGCTGCACCTTAACAAATCCACTGGACGTGCACGCACCTGACAGCTCGATTTTTATATCGACGTATATAGTCGGCGCCGATACGACACGGTTTTTTACGATTACGCCCGTCCAGTTGTGGACGCGCCTGGGTATGGGTCGTGGAAATTTACCGACGGGTAGCTAGAAATTCTGTTCTTTTTTTGTTTGTTTTTTTTTTGGTTTTTTTTTTGAACCTGCTCTCTGCTTTTGAGGGGTTGTTCCAGTGATGGAAAGCCGGCTGTGAATATTGTTTGACTTTTATTGCCGCGCGAAATTGCGCTGCTATAGAGGTTATGAAATTGTACATCAATGGCGCGGGAAAATTTATTCCTACCGTGTTGGTAGAGCGTTGTTTTCATTCTAGCTAGTCATTTAATGTAAGGGCCACGGCTGGAAGATATTTATACGGGTTATTTAGCGATTAAACTGCTCGTTACAGTTATAATTATATCGCGTTTATAATCGTCCGCCATTTTCAAGACAGCCGTGATCGTAATCGATGCAGCTACGAGAAAAACGAACAGGCATCCTCTCGAAAGGAAGAGTGTCTACAAAAAGGAAGAAAAAAGGCCCCACCTCCCAGGTATCAGCGTGGCGGAATTAAAATTCCACTTCCGGTGGGCCAGTTCGCTATCTACGACGAAACCGCGGCGATAAAATTGTCGGAGGTGGGTAAGGTTGCCCGTGCTTGGATAAGCAGCTGTGCCCCGTGGCGCGCGATAAAAGCTCGTGCTCGCACGTGCTCGCGCGCGCCAATCCCACTCTCTAATTCATATTCTTGCACCTGACTGACCCCTTATTCTTTCGCGGCATCTCATTTAACACCCCCGCGGGCCAACGCATCACCTGCGACCAAGTGTTTTCACCAGGGTCCACGTGGCCCTGATACCCGCCGTTTTTACGTCGACCTGTTCGTTTCCATCTTTGAATATTATTAATACCGGTACCGTCCGCGCCACGGAGCAGCTGCTTTCGGAGGAGGTACACGTGCACGCCCCCTGAAGGTACTTTGATTGCATCGATGGTATTGCTTCGTTTATGTGAACTTGAAAAAATATCGTGGGAACTTATTTATAATAATTGCAGACTAATTAACGTCGTCCCTGGCCAGCGGGTAATTGTCGACACGCTTTAATTCAGCCCTCCTTATCTGATGTGTTAAGCTGCCTGTTGCATAACGCGAACAAATTATGACGATGTGGATCGGCCTATATGCGCAGCGTTTACAAGTATGGATAGGGAAATCTGCTTTACGAACACGAGAGTGGGGGAATCGTCACGCGTCTGATGTACCCTGTAATGGCGGCTTCGTGTTCAGCAACGGTAAGTAGATATAATATTCTTTATTAATTAGTTAATTATATTTGATTCTTTCAAGTGTTTATCGTTAATGAAATTCGAGATTTTGTGATTGTGGATTGAGTGAAACAGTGATAGTGTTTGTTCGCGCGATTCGAAGCCAAATAGTTGACACACGTGAACGAACGCTTCCCTCTTTCCGGATGCGGCGCATTTCACGCTTGCGACTTTCGAAATACGTTGTGAAAAGGCTGGTTGATTAATAATCATGCCGAATGGCTAGAACAACGATATTTACTTTGGCCGGTATATAGCCTTCTGTAGCGATGTCTCTTTAGAAACTGCTGGTCAGAAATGGTTGTACGAAGATAACAGGTGCAGGAAGTCATTCGGTGAGTCATTTTCGTTTTACGTAACGGGACTGTGTAAGTAGAAATTAGCATCACTGTGGCGGGCAAATTTGTGAGGTTAGAATGGCAGACGTGTAAATGTAAGAAGAATGGAGGGAATAGTGAATGACCGAGGTGCAGTGTGCTTTGTTCTTGTCAAATCTGATAGCAACGGAATTATTGTGATAATTAATGTGAACAGCTGAAGAAATAACATTGAAATCACGAGTGAAGTGAAACACGAATTTAACCCTAGAACGATGGGGTCGATCGGAACCCACGTTAAGATATTACAAGAGTAATATTTAGAAAGATATAATATAACGATAGAAAGAAGAATACAGTGTGATTGTGCGGAATGGTTGGGCAAAGTCTGCGGAAACAGGCGCACAATTAACGGGGTCAAGTGGTTGAAGCAAAGCCCGCCTATGACTGGTACATGGTTTCTGCATTAGATCGACGCGTTCTTCGTTAACAACAATAAAGATACGTCCAGGAAGCGACACTTCCTTCGACGAGTGTCAAAATCCGGTGTCAGTGAACGGCTTCTCCGCCGAGATAGTGAATTATTTTCTGCAACGGATATCCATTATTTTCCTTCCTGGCTAAGTGTTGTGTCGATTCAGACGTGCCAGGAGATGTTGGAAGGGTCCGAGTCGAGTAAGTATATGTTTACCGATCATTTTCTCTTTCTTTTTTCTTAAAGCCGATGTCACTTAAAGCTGTCCGAGTTAGAAAATCGAAAACGATTCCTCTATTTGAAGGTTACGAATCCACTAATTTAATTTTAATCATCGAAGAGAAAAATATAATGGTGTAGACAGTGGTTAAAAATAAATTTGTTGAGGTTAGGTCATGGGATCCGGCGAAGATCTCATCTCGGTGACATTCACAGCTTCAAAACTCCAAGTTAGAATTTATGAAAAATTATTTCACTCTTATTTTCATCTATTTTCGAAATTGCCCGTTAAATAATAATTTCAAGGGGCGATTATTACAGTGCATTTCGTAGAAAATTAAAACATTCGGAAACACAAGAGCTAAATCGTAAGAAGAAGAAAATTGCGTGAAACTGCGTAAGGAAAACAAAATGGCATATAACTTTAAAGGTAGCAGATATGTGGGTTTTAGAATTGTAGAACGGCTGCCCGATAAGACCAAGGTTGTTAACGTTGATTCCCAGGGAATCGACTACAATATCAGAGAAATCCATCACGAATAAAGAGATACAAAGTTGATGTACCAAAAAAAAGTCATTCAATTTCAAACAATTATTATTAAAGTTATATATTATTTGAATTGTGTGACTCATCCAATAGATATGAAATCGTGGAGAAATTGATAAAGTATTTCATACGTATCATTCGGTATTGGTCAAGCGGAAGGAGGTTCCTGTAAGAGGAATCTCGCGCAAAAGGAATGGCCAACAATCTTGATATAAGTAATGTATTTCTTTTATATCTCCGCCAGATAAAGAATAATGGATGGGGCTTGGTGACGTCGCGCGGAAGATATGATACCTTCCTCTTTTGCCAGGATTCACCAGGATGACGATAATAATAATTTGACCTGGAACGTCTGCCTAGCGAAAATCTATGACCTTCGTGAAATTGGAAAATTGAAGGATCGATTCGAAAAGAAATCTACCATCTTTATCCTTTCGTGATAAGTAATTGTGGATACATCTTGGATAAACGTTTGTCAAATTTTCACGATCTTTCGAAGAAAATAATTAAAAAAAAGAAAAAGGACGCTAAGAATTGATTAAATCAACACGTGCTTCGAACAGCTTCGATAATATTCCAATATAATAAGGCTAGTAAGCTAACCGGTCCCAATAAATGTAAAATACCAGGCGTAAATTAATCACGTAAAGCAGGCGGCATGCAACAGCCATGAAAGGCAAGATAGAATTTCATATTTGTTTAAAAAAAAAAGAAAGAGGAAGAAGAAGAGAACGAAAAAGAAAGCTCGTCCCGTTTAAATTCCCCGGCCGATGATGCTGATAAGACGCCACTTAAAAGCGATGATTCATCGAGGGCATAGAAGAAATGAGGCACAGGTGTGACAGAAAAATATTAGCGTCGTTTTAGCCATACAAATGGAATCTTTATTTCCACGGCGTGGAGAGTTTGGAGATATCACCGTGAGATTAGCTGCTCCTCTCGCTGCATAATTATCGTGGCAGCACTGCGCATGCTCGAATTATCTACGATCGGTATCGTCCACGCGGAAGGGCAGATGCGAAGATCAAATTAGGCTCTCGTTAGAAACTCCACGTTATGTTCTCTGTTTGCTCGCTCTTTGGAATAAAGGCCAGTCGAAGGTGTAGGTAACACGAGGCGTATTGTAACTTTAAGTTGAAGAGGGTGGTTTCGCTTCTGACACCTACGATCGGCCTCAGATAGTCCAACCTTGGTACACCTGACTTAACAGGTCTTAGAGAATTTAGAACGAGTGTAATAAGTTTCGACTCGAATGACGCCTCTTCGTCATGTGGAAGTGGTAGGTACACCTTGTAGCCTTCCTAGAAGAGACCTAAACTCATTTGATCAAGTTTTGATTGCCATCAACAAATGTCTTAAGGGTATAAATTTTACTTTTAAGCTATTAAGAAATTGTATCTTCCTTCATGACCCAGGCCGTGTAAACGAATACCGACAAGCGGTCGCAATTTAACGTTGAAATGATATTTTTCCGAATTGTAGGTGCACGATATAAGCTATAAAAGCGTACGAGTGACATACGGCCAGGCTCCGGGCCAAAATCACCTCCGACTTGATGGAGTGCTCGGTGATTCCCCTGCTCCTCGACCTGCCTCCCCTTCCACGCACCACGTCCGAACGTCTGACCAACGTCCGACGTGTTTGTTCGCCCCTGAATAAAGCGGCTTTCCTCTGCCCGGCAAACGCTTCTTATCGAGGAAATATCATTTTATTTCATTTATGGCCATAACGTCCAAAGGGGATCTCACTTTTATTGGCCTTTCGAATCTCGATCGTATATTTCAGCTTCGAAGCGTCGAACCCCTTTCGATTCGACCGTCTCATCAAACTTTTAATATTTCCTAAATCAAATAATGGAAACCCGAAGAAGGGTTAAGTCAATCGAAAGATATCGAAAAGCAGCAAACACTATCGCGGATGTTCCATCGGTCGTGAAACATGAAAATTGTTATTCCCGAGCCTAGCAGAGGAACTGGCGCGCATAAACTCGAAATCCGATGTTTCACGTGCCATATTCCGGTAAACTAGCATCTCCGTGCCGCGGCTGGTGTCACGTACACACGAACGAATCACGTCCCGGGCCCTGCTGATCCGTATCATCCAGGACGCGTGAGTTTCGAAGCCGGTCGATCGAATATTTTTGCTAGAAGCGATCACGTTCTACCTGCGATTTCGCATGCCAGCTTCGCGACGCTTTCTCAAAAGCACGTGCACCATAACCCTTTGAATTATTGGCAATCTCCTACTTTAGTAGGTTAACGTTGACTTTGAACGTTTTGCGGAAGCTGAGTGAATTTGTTGAACCGTCGGTTCAGGGAGGTTGGGCTATTTGAGTAAGTGGGGCACGGTATTGAATTGATAGAGTGATATTACAGGATAGGAAAAGGAAGCAAGATTGGACTGCCGAATCAAATGGCTAAAGTAAAATTCAATGACACTAAAATATTACTTAATAATAAAAGCCAGATACTTTTGTTACAAGAATAGAGAGAAAAACTAATCAGGATATAAAGTATCGGCAAAACGGAGACAGAGTTGCCCAAGTAGGAAATTGCCGGAGCAATGAAGTGGAACACATGAAGCGAGCGAGGCCACCATAGCCGAGAATTTCCATCCAGAAAGCGACGGCGTACGATCACGATGACCGACAGCCGGATTCGTGAAAAATATGGAGCGAGAGTGGAATTCCACATGCGTCTCGCTCGACTCCGGTTAGGTCAGCTCGATGTCGTGTCGTTTCTCGCTTATTTCATATTCCATGGGGGCGCTGCTCTTCATGTTTTCCTCCTCTACCGCGCCGCGCCGTGTCAGCCGAAAATCCGCGACATTCATTCAGCACGTTTATCGATGCTTGGAGAAGGAAAATTCTCGGCTCGTTTCCGCGGCAAACCATAAAGTGACGCTTTCCCCTTAAGAATATAAACTTGTTCGCGGCTGATATAGCGAATATTATGTGGTTGACGTCAAATGGGAATGGGAAGGGATAAGGGGGAAGTCGAACGGATATGCGGGCTTCGCTCATGGGAGTATTACGGATTCAAGGTGAGTAGGGGTCCCACGAAGTAACCCGAGACATCAGCGGGGTAATATTTCCATATTCCGATATCGAATAAATGGACCGTTGGCGGGCGTGCGACGCGGGCATAAATCCTTAGGCTACCCGTCATGCATCACCGGCTAGCCGGGAAAGATTCGAAGTCAGGCGGGGGTGGCAGGTGGTTTCCTCTTTTGCATTCCTTAGAAACCCTCGCTTCTCTTCGACAAATCTAACGAGGTTATTGTTTTTCCCTATATTTTCTATTTCCTTTATTTATAAGAGCATATTATCACAATTGCTACAATTAAAATAAGTGGAATGATCCACTGGATGATTTTCATTCATGCGGATCCAACTAAAAATTCAACTGGAAGCAAAAGCTTATTCACATAAACGGCTACATTAAGCAACAATGGTTCACCTTTCAAGACCGTCACCGATCGATGAATGAAAAGGACCATCTATGGAATTTAAATGCACCGTATCCGCGAGAACATCAGAAATTCACAGTGGCCCTTTTAAAAGTCACCAGATTAACCTATTCAATGTCTGAAAGATGATTGAAACGAACCGAACGATCGGATATTCGTACGAATTAATCGGCTGCCTTCGAAAAGTCATGGTTCGTCGATCAATGGTCGACCCATGCCGTCCAGTTCGATGGGTCAACGTATTGGCGACGAGATAAGAACTACCAGTCCCAGGTTCCGACAGCTGATCAACGTGCCTACTGCTCGTTTTCTCTGCCGAAGGAACTTTTTGCATGCTACACGCACGCTTTCGCTGCGATACGAACGATCAAGTTCTACTGCAACCCGATGGCGGGAACAAATTGGTCACGTGGCTATACGGTGTTTTCTATGCTTTGAACTGAGAAGCTGATAAAATAGTCAATATTTAACATTTCGACAGGATGTCGCGTGACACGATGTCAATCATCGTGATCATGACACGATTGGATGAAAAAGAAGAAAGTGTTGAAAGAATTATCAGCGTGACACAGCATCGAGGATAAGTGTCTGTTAAGTTAACCGAAAGCTGAAAGCAAGAGGATAGCCGTTCGAGCGGGTCGTTCTAAATCCAAAACCGTACCACGCTCGCTTTTCTCGGTCATCGATCTTGACCCTCTCACGGCCGCCTAACTAAAGAACTTTCAGGGTGAGCTACCCTTATTCCCACGCGTTCAAGAGAACGACGCATCGCGTCGCGTCGCGTCACGGTTTTCGTGGCAACAAATCCCGAGGTAGTGTGCAGCATCCAAGAGGAACACAGAGAGGAGTCCTCGGGGCAGAGAGAGCCGCTAAGTGACTAATTAATCGGCGATAGCCTTTCACCGCGATGTTATTAATGCGCCTGAAAGTAATACACGCGCGTGGTAGACCATTAAAACGCCAGAGGTGAATTTACAAGTCGCGAGCCGCTTAGTTTACGACGAACCGCTTAGGACTGGGTAGCTCGACGCGGCTTGGCAACGATCCCTGTTTTCTTGTCGCGCCTTCAACACTGCCTGACACGTTCGACCTGGGCCTGGAACACAAGGCCACGGCCCTGCACTCCTTTGAAATAAACATTTTACAATACCTTATCCTTATACTCTACCATCTACCTTTTTAAGCTTATGTTAAATTTCATTGCGAATATTGTTAAGTGAATCCCGCTGGTGACAATTGCGATAACTACCATCCTCTAATACCTCAGTTTGTTCAGTAAAACGAAGCATTCACCTCTGCTTTCAATTCCCCGTTTCGGATCGCAGAAAAGAAAACAGATCCAGACGAGGTAATTGGATGATAACCAACAGACGTGACGGTCCGCGTCATGGCAGACGAAATTAATACGCAGATTATCCGGGAACGGTAATATTCAGGCAGCAGAGCCTTTAGTCCTGTGCCTAATTTCTGTCTTCCTTCGCAACTTATAATTCAAGCGCGCAGACTGGAACCGAACTGAACAGAACTACGGCAACTTGCGCAACGGTAATTATACACTTTCAGCCCCGGTTCCCGCGCGCTACCTGCCCGTCTGGCTGGCTGCCTGTGCGCCCTTAAATTTCGGTTTATTTATGTCCCGGCTGACGGCTTCACGCTTTGCCCTCGTCCAGTCCTCGGATGAATCTCGCGAGTAAGGAACTGCAACTTGCTTTTCCCTTGTGAGATACTATTCTAACTTGGATGCTGTTTTAACGTAACCAACCTGATCTCTTTTCTAACCTAACCTCAACTGCGAAGTTTAATTTTAGTTCCCATCTCATGGAAATATGCCATTTGGATATTTGAGTGTCATTTTTCAAGATGACCGCGCCAGCGCAATTATAATGGAAAATGGAAGAATCCACGACAATAAGGGTAAACGGAATAAGAAGTAAGCCGAGAAAGGTGGCTAGGCAAGATTTAAGAGGCAGACCCCCCGGGCCAGTAATTCTTATAACAGCATTAAAACAGAGCACTTTAATTTACCGCACTGTAGCTTTCATTCCTTGTGCTCAAATAGTCTACGTCGACTTCCATTCTTCGCGCGTGTTATATAGGGTGACGGCATCGAGCTTCCGACGGAAACTCTCGGAATGCGTTCCGGCCGCATTAAAACCAAGGAAAGCTATTAACGAAACGTTCTGTTCCGTCTTCAGGTGAAATTTTGAAATATTAAAACGTGTCCGCTTGGCTAATTCAACGTTATCCCGGCGAAGGGTGTCATCAGTCATTGTTCGCGATTAACCTAACCTTCGGTGACGTTGCAAAACAATGGCGTCGCGATGCTACAAAATTTACTGTATCTGGCGCCGCTTCTATATTTACGATGGGCAGCAGAGAACGGGCGATAACTACGTGATCCAACGGGGCGTCTCCAGCATATGCTGGCTCGGTGGAGATGCTCCTTCCGCTTTTCATTCCACTCCACGCCCTTCGTGTTCAAATTAAAACGCGAACCGAGCCAGCCGTACGTGCGAGCAGCGCGATGCTCGCAAATACGTCGTCGACGGTAAATAATTCCTAATTAGTCTGTCGCCCAGGCCAGGACAACAACAATGGAGACGCATCGTCGCGTTGCTGCAAGGAGGTGGAATCGCGGTACGAGCGCGAGTCGCATCTCTTGATTCTCTCTTTCTGCTCGCTGCATTTGCACCGCTTGCGAAGGGGATCTCGCGAGGGGAACGGTTAAACCGAGCAAATTGTGATCTTAACTCGCTGCACTGATACCGGATACAACTTCCAACCAGGACAGTGCCGAGACGTTAACGAACGACTGTTTTGAGTAGGTGTGGTAGCAAGGTACAAGTTGCTTCAGAAATGACTGGCTAGCTACTGCTCAAAGATGTATCTTTTTGATACATGTATAAGGTGCTTCAAAAACTTGGAAAATAACACAAGATTTTGAGTTGATCCAAATTTTGAAGAGTACCAAAATATTAAGCAACGTACAGGAAGTTTAAAAAAGAATGTACGAACCCATGCGCCATCATACTGGGATAATTAATTCTAACGAAGCTACTGGAAACGAAGCGAAGGTGGTTATTCAAATGAAACATCCGCAGAAGCAGCGAAAGAAGAAAAAGAAGGGATCAAGGCAGCAGCAGTAGCAACAGCAGCAGAAGAAGAAGAAGAAGAAGAACAAGAAGAATAAGAAGAGGACGAAGACGAAGAAGAAGAAATTGCTATGCGGGACGCGGCAGAGCAGCATAACGGTAAGTCCTCGCTGGCAAACGATCGTGGTGTCATTGTGCCGTCACAATGCAAGGTTATTCATCTGAAATTCTCACGGCGACATCAATCCTATCGCTCGATAGAAATCTCCCCTCTGCGTGCCGAGTATTCCAGCTTCATTAGAAAGACGTGGCCCATGAATATGCGCGATGTGACCGACCTGATCAAGCTGCCATATCGCGTCACTTATCCGTGCAGACGATTTTCCCTGTAAATGCGACAACACGTGTGCTGCGAATTTTGACGGAAGTCTCAGGTGTCGCGGCGTAGCTGATTTCTTCTGCAGCCTGATGCTGTCCATTCAAATCAGTATCTTACTTTTCATTACTACAGCGAGAATTAAACTGGGAATTATCCAGCGTTACCTAGGTAACCCCCCCGTTAATTGTCGCAGTGCAGACCTTTAACTCCACGCTACCACACCGAAGTATACTTTGCTCAAAATGAGCACTTTTTGACGGACTACCTTCGAGGCAAGGAAAAAAAATAGAGCCAGTAATGGCGGCCTTCTATATTTCTTCGCGCAATCAAGACATTTCTGGGTAATTTGTGGCCGTAGAAGGTGGATACTTTGCTGGGGCTACATAGCAAGGATCTAATATACCCGGCTCATAATCATTAATCACCGGAGAGAAATCACCTTGGTCGTTTTTTTCTTCCACCAAGTTACTGGATTGTGTATAGAGACCTCTGACGAGGGTATAAATCATTTATAGTAAATGGCAAATACTATTATCGGAGAAAACCATAGAAGTCTGAAAACAATCTCGAAAAAACAGTTTAACGTATGAAACATAATAAAAATCAACTGATTTTCCATGGAAGACAAAGAAAGTTAGATTCCATTTACTAAATCATACGATTTAACCGCAGCAAAATATTCGCTAGCGGACTGGCCAAGTATGGCCGACTTTAATGACCGTGCTTAAGGGATGAGATGGACGAACGGGTCATTTCGCGAGGACATTTATAAATGACATAGCAGCGGGACGGCGATATAACCCGACTTGACTGGCGCCCTGTTCCGGCCAAAGAGGAAGCAGGGGTTGCGACGCGAAAGGGGGTAGTAGTATGGGGGCGGTGTGCGCGGATCTGAATCGGCCAGGGAAACTCTGAGGATAGTGGTTTTAGATACATACCCCGTGTACATAGTTGGTGCACACAGACGACCCGACCATGCACATTCGGAGGTTGCTTGGTAATGGCTTCGGTTTATTAATGACCGGTCAGCTGAGTTAGCAACCGGCGTGTATTCCACGCGAACCACCCTTAACGCACGCCTACCCCATCCAAAGCGATTGCAAAACCCATAGACAGAGATGAGAGTTTTGCTTCGTCAAGAAACTCGCTGATGGAGCAAGAAATAGTTTGCTACCTACTTTTTCCATTTCCTATGTTATGCAAAAAACTGTAGAAAGTACATTAATTCCCATAAAGAATAGTTTACAAGTATTTAAGGACACCTTTTAGCTGGTGTGTTTCAGCCATATTTTAAAGTTAACCTCGTACGAGGACCACGAATGGAAATGGGTTAATTCAGATGGAAAAGGAAAAACGAAAAGGAACTTTTAAAGTAAATAATTAAATGTGATAGAATTGAAAGACAAGTCACAAGTACTTTGATCTCTAATTCAATTGTAAACGTCAACGCGTCATCGTAATTTGATCGTTTACGCAGCTCGGGGCGTCGCATGTTCGACTAACGAAACACGTATCACCGTTCCTCCTGTGTTTACAGTGGAAAAAACGAAAAGCGCGCTAACCCATCATTACGATTCCTCTCCAATCGAGGAATCGAGGAATCACAATGACCCCTGGACGACTCTAATTCAGTCGATGCACGACGCAATTGTTGCATATGTTCACATGCCGTCATGCGTGCTTCCAAGTAACCAATAGACACGATAGGGTTAAGGGAATCCGTAATTATTGCAGAATTTTTGTTTAACCATCATCGACAAATTTACGCCTAATTCATCTTATCCTTGAAACGTCATATTTTGGAAAACAGTAGGTGGAATAGTAAGCCAAAGCTAACTTAAATAATAAGACAAAACGGAAGGATTCAGTTCGTGGCTACAGCTCGTTTACTTTCTTTCGATCTACCACCATAGGACAAACGTTGCAAACGATCAAAGCGAGCAAGGCAATAATTCAAATGGTCCAGGTTCGTTCATGTAAATGGCCTAGCTATAGTGCATTCATACACACATGGAAAGTGACCTAAGGGAAACGTCACATTCGTTCGAACGTCTGCTCTAGTAGCACGTCAGACGTCTAATATATTGACGTTAAACGTGGAACTGTTGCCGAGATGTGTCTCGCGGCAAACAGGGGAGGGTTCTGCTCGGATGTGAAAGGATCGGAATGCGAGCAAAGGACATTAAGCTCGGCCAGCGTCGGGACGAAGGTCTCTTTGTCGCTGTCAAGCTCAGATTTGAGGAAAAATAACGCGATGACACGCGAGCCATTGTGCTCGGATCTCGGACGATGACTGGCGCTGCTCGTTGTGGGAATTTCGTTGGCTCTCTGTTCACGTGCCGCCTATTAGGTTGCACTATGAAGGAACGGTTTGAATACCGGAGGTTATGTTACCCGATCGCTACCTGTCCACCATCGCTGAGTAGTTCCAACGAGTGTATATTAATTCGACGCCTTTTAACTTCACTACCTTCAACTTTTTCCCAATAATTCTTTGTCAGTTTCATGGATTTCAGAAAATTATTATTCGTTAATCGATTACCATCGATTCGTTAATATTTGTCTCGTTTTTTAATCGAACGATAACTATGCCCGTACATAACTTAAAATAAAATATTTTATCCAACGTTTTATCTTCCACGAGTGCACGTCCTGGAATGTTCCCGGTAGTCCCCGACAATGAGCCGCCCCGTTTGCGGATATTTTTCATTTCGTATGATCGATAAGCTACTCGATCGCGTTCCTCGTCGAAAAATGGCTGAGTAGAAAAACTTGTTCTTGTCACCGGCCGGGCTTCTGACACCTGTTAGCCCGCGAAATTTGATCGATCGACAACGACAACAACGTCGATACTCTTCTATAAGTCTCCACGGGGAAGAGTCTGGCGAAAAAAGACGCACATTTGACAAACAGTTATGGTATGGTTCCATATATGGGGAATACACGCCAGGCGGATCGTAATACGGTGTGGATGGCCCGGTACAAGTAGAATCATGGAATACAAGCTTTCCCTCTCAAAATTGACGAGATACTTTCTCTTTGATACTTTGCCTTCGATCATACGTAAGATCGTTACAAGGTAAGGTTAGGTTAGTTTGGAGGAATAGTTAGCGCCATCTACAACTCAAGTGCAACAAAGGCTTCCTTTGGTTTTAGTCATTTAGTTGCCATTTTAGAGTTCATAAGGTGAGCAGAGTACGAGGTCGCGACGTCTAGGTCTATGTTGACGCTCGTCATAGTCTCACGGCGCTAAACGATCGCAAGTTTAACGAGTGTCGATGCAAATGCGGCGAATTGTCAAGCCAGACCACGCGTGAACATGGCGCGGCGATCAGTGGATATTGAATTCGAAATTCCCCGATTATCGGTGCTCTATTTGTTCTACTATCTGGCAGCGAGGCACGTAGCCGCGATCGGCTTCCCGCCACTGAAATATGTCGTTTGCGGTGACGTGAAGGTACGCGACGAGTGCGTCGCATATGTAATTCCTACTTAGAGTCGACATTACGGTAATATACGGCGCATTAACCAAGTTTCTGCCTTCGACTCGCTCGACCGCCCTTTCTCTTCGCCCTCCCTCCTCCCTGCTCCTCGCTCTCTTTCAACAACTAGCCTCCCGTCCCGACCTCTCACGTTCCCTCCCATCGGCGAGCTTCACGTGTTCGTTTCATCAGGTGTTTTTTTTTTTCATGCTTCTCACCGGATACGTACGTGTAAAATGAAAAAGAGTGTTCTTGTCGTGCGAGACCGGTGTCAGACACGCGCTGGCCACGTCGAATTCCGCTTCCTGGCTACTAGCTTCCCATCATGCCCATTGCTGAACTTGAAAATTATTTCCGTTTACGGATTTGCCCTTAGTCATGGCGTATTTGGAATCTACTCCGCTTTAATTGTCTTCCTTTAAACACTGGAGGGTTCCAGTAGGTCTCAAATCGGACCAGTGAACCGACGAGACGGGTCACTACATCTATGTCCCTAGTCCAGTGAAAAAAAGTGTTCCTTTAACAGATTGACAAGGATGATAGTGAGTAATCGGTAATCATTACCGTGTCAATATCGAGGGAACGGCAGACGGTTGGTGAAACAGGGATGCTTTTCAATTGGCGGCCATGGCGTGGCAATCGACATGAATTTTGAAGCGTATCTGATAGCAGCACGGTGCCGCCTAAATATTTGATGAAACATTCCGGCCGCAATATGGGGCCCCGCATTTCCCCGGAAAACGCCGTGATCTCCTGTAGCCGGCACACCAGACCGCCATTACTTTGATACATAACCTCGCTTCTCTCCGTCCCTCTCCCGCCTTCATATATTGATAGCGAGAATGCATTATTGATGCATCGGTTATATTTATGGGGACAATTTAAAGCTCGCCAATCATTTCTCGGCAGCGAATCGATCGTGCGGCCGCGGTCGTTCGTTGAACCGGGCCGTATTAAAAATTCAAACGGAACGGCGGGAAAATTTGAAATGCGACGCGTGTTCCTGCGGCCTCGAACGCATTAATGCATGCAGTCAATTACGCGCGGACAGAAAGGAGATGATAATTCCAACGAAGTCACGCTCTTTCGTCGAATTTTAAAACAAACAACACTCGGATTCATGAATAATCCAAGGATTTTGAAACGTTAACACTTGGACGATAGCGTTTCTTCTTGCGATCGGTTTGCAAATTCGTCGAAAGCAAAGGCGAGCCGCAGCTATTTGTACAGCCACGAAAGAGAAGACTGTTATTGTTTAATATTTCATGGATGTTGATGGACGCATTCGCGTGTGGAGAGGAATACCGATCCCCTATGGCGTGTAGGGACAAAGTTGATTTTTATGTTCGAATATCGAGAGACTCAGACGAGACTTGTCAGATGCGTGGGGCCGAAGGGACATGTATGAAAAGGGTGCGAGAATGGGGAGAAAGTGAACGTGTCGTAGCGAACGGAAACGTTCTCAGGAGGCTTAAAATAAATCCGAAGACAAATAATTGCGATATTAATTAAATATTCACGGTTACACTTTTGTACGGTGAAAAATTACTTAATTTTTTTTTTTTTACAACAATGAAATTCTGTTAAAAGATAAAGAAGAAGGTGAGTGCAGAATAGCGAAAGCAATTTCACAAAACGACACCTCTTCTGTCGCAATGGAAGGATCCGGTGGCGCTATCTCGACAGTCGTTGCACGCCCCGGGTGTACCTAACCTCTGCGCAGATTTATATTCGCCTAATCCTGGCGCAATAGCATGGACCAACAGCGAGGAGGCTGCGTCCAACGATGAGGGGCTCTCTTAATTGAAGTATACCTTATCTAAAAACTGGTGATCCCGCAGAACCGCGAGCCAGCAAGACCTTTGATCCGTTAAGGTCTGCTTGGTCGTGATTGCGGGCTCTTGTCTTCTCTTATAATTGATATTGGCTGGACGGTGCGGGCGTCGTCGTTGTGCGAGCCAGCCAGAGAAGGATGCCGGACAGGGAGAGACAGAGACAGAGAGGCTTCGATGGCCTCTGGAAAGGCCGGAATCCTCTAATCCCCGATGGTCCCGTCTTCGAGAATAGTTGGTAATCCCGCTGGATAGTTGGAGATCACCGAGTTACACCGGACACACTTGGAGCCGGGGGCTTTTATTGGCAGATGCTGCTAAGGTGGATGTCTGAAGAGAATTTCGACTTGAGCAACTCGCTGCTTGCAGTCGCTAGTTGAAGTCGAACGCGGAGCCAATAGGAACGCGAACAGTTTCGAGGCTGTGCTTGTGCCCGATCGAGCTGGAAAGCGCTTAATGTCCCAAGTCCAGATCTAACCCAGGCTAAAGACTTATACCGGTATACTTAATGCACGCGGTCTAAGACGGGCCAAACGTGGCTGTACACAGTTTCCAGCAACTGTAAGGTTCTATTGAATCTTGTAAATGGCTCAGATCCCCTCGGATCCGATCTCAGATTAGTCCTGTCTCTATGTTTAAGAAGGTCCAACGTTTCCCGCCGAGTATATCGACTGGAATGCTCGCCGTATTTGCCTTACTGTCATTAAGAACAACTCCTGATGAATATGTTTATAGCAGTGTTCACTTTTCTCTTGGATCTCCCAAAGTACCTATTTACTGATGTGATTAATGAAAGAAGATTAGAAGACAGAAGACAGAATTAAGAATTAGAAGATAGATTGGTTTGGCCTTTATCAGCATTGCACGAGCAACGAACAAAATATGATGTCTGGGATAAAACGTGCGGTCAGATTTGTCCCTTAGCATCCATAGCCATCCCCAAGATAGGGACTGATTCGCACGTGTTGAGGATCAAGTAGATAATTCTTCGTCCCAGTAGGACGAGCCCAATCTTGTTACCATTGCTCCATAATCGAACGATAACCGAAAGAATACTTTGATCAAAGTGGAAGGTCATCAACGATTGAACAAATTTGACGAAACGAAATGATTGCAAATATTGAAATTGATCAGTCTGTTAGAAAAACATGACAGATAGTTAAGAAATGGTTGAAAATAGCCGGTGGCGCCTCACCTTCCTGGAACAAACGAGGCAAAATTTCCATAAAGGTTAAAGCTTGGCTTTGCCCGCTTCCTGTCGCCCGTACCACCATAATCGCATATGCTGTGAACACGCCATAAGGCGTGGACGTTTCGATGTGCGAAACCACGCCGCGCACCCCGTGTTCCCTGTCTAAATTCGTGAGGACATTTATGAGGATGCGCCTGCAAGATCTTATCGGCCATGAAAAATTCAACGTTTCATCTGTCCCACGAACCGGACTGCCCTGCCGATCTGCATTAATTTATTTATACCGGCCACTTAAGGGGCCCTCGAATAAATTTGACGGACGCTTTAAAATCTGGTAGGTACCAGCCGAGAATTGGTTAGAATTTCACGCCGACCGGAAATGACCTGCCCTTTTGCCATTTTATTTTTTTTTTACTTTCACTTATTAGAGATGGACTTCGACTTTTGCAATTTTTAATCAATAAAAATATTAACTGGGATGCAAAATATCCTGACCATATTTGTGAACGTAAATTCATAGTAAACACCATTCATAAGTCACCAGGAAGGAATTAATGACGACACGTTTATAGTGGTGGCTCATAAAAAAGCCGAAACGAGTTTCGGCCTGGAACGTGCTGATCATGAAATAAGGACTTTAACTTTTTCGATTTCGCGGCCCGATATCGAGCCGTTTCTACCTGTATTAGTCGCCAAGCATACAACCCCATGGATTCTCATATGCACTTACTTTTCATTGCTGACCCATCGTATGTAATATAATATGTATCGTAGTCTGTGACTCCCTATGGAACACTGCTCGCCCACGTTTCTTCTACGGCCAGCTCCTAAACCCTGCCACGCTTTCGTTCGTAAACGAAAACGAGTTTGCTCGATCTTGAATTCTCACCGCCCAGGCGCGCCCGTGGGATTTCTCTGTTGAACGAGAAATTTTCGAAGAAATATGTATCTCTTCCTTTCTTTCCGTCGCATATTTAACGAGGCGCAACGATCGAGTGGGAAAAATGCAACGGGAAGAATCGGTTAATCCGCAGGACCTTAAAGTTCCAGCAAAGGCGGTCTCTATAAATATTTCAAGAGCGTAGGGGGAGGCGGATACATCTCGAGGGGGTTGAAGCGCGACTTCTTTTTCTATTATGCCGTGATTTTTTATTGACGAAGTGGACACTGCGGGTCCGGAAGACATCTATTACTTTGTTGCTCTTGCTAGCTCTCCCTGGTATACTGCGAGTCCGACGAGGGTGGAAAGTTCGAAGGAAGACCGACGGGGGTGGAACGGGGACAGTTTTGTCCCAGGCGTGCAATACTCGGGGCCATAGATCACGCAATATCAGTTGTCAGGCCGGATCGAATGGCCGGGAGGGTGGACAACTGGACACCGACTACCCCCGAAGTGCGAGTGATGACCCTCGAGGGAGGCCATGCAAAAACTGGTCCTCGCCAGCCTCCTCCCTTCCGCGCTTTCACCTTTGCTGTTTATGGCGGAGGACACATAAAAAGGAATATGTAACGAGCGCGGATAATTCACCGTTCACTCTGCTGGGACCCCCGTCCACCGAGGGTGGCGCTTCCTTTTTTTTCTTCTTTTTTTCTCCTTTCTCTTGCACGCCACTGTGGGTATGCCTTTTTTCCTCGATATTCCTATCCCTGCAGACCGTGAACGCGGAATTGCCGCGTCGCCTCGATTCACCGTTGACTTATTTATGCGATCGTCTATCGTGTGAAACAATGTTAAGGCATACGAGGGATGCTTCGGACCTTTGCTGACCAACTGGTGACCAATCGGAATAGTGAGTCCCTTGTCAGTCGAGGAAGATGCACTTTCCCGGGAATATAAATTCGATTTGCCTTTCCCAACTACCCTGCTGATTGCTCGCTGAGTTATTTCTGCTAGCTTGATTTCAACGAATTTCAAACGACCTTGGGAATCGGGCATATGTTACTTCATCGAAATAGGAGATGAGCTATAAAGATCCTCCTATTCGTACGCGTCATTTTTTCTTCGGTCTTATTTCGAATGCTGATCGCTACGAATAACTAATGGAGATTCTCCGTAAGTGGCACACTCATCGAGACTGTACGGCCGCTCTATAAACGTCGAAACAATCCAGCCGGCTTCAACGCGGCCGTAAATCCTGCCCTGTTCATTGGCCAAGTCCACGAGGCTCTTTCGATCTCGCCTCTTTTTTTTTTCTTTTTAACCGCGTCGAGCTAGCAGACGGGGAAAGATAACGTTCGGATCCGCTCGATCCGCCTTGCAGAAGCGTTGGACAAAGCGACAGCGTTGCGCGCCAAAATTAGCACGGAACAATGCACGCGGTCGGATTCAGAGACGAGGACTGCCATCCCTCCCTCCCTGTTCCTTTACTTGTTCCCGATTTCGTTCGCGCTACTCGCCACCTTCTTTTCTTTTCCTTCTCCCCATATGATCGAGACGCTGGCGGAAATTGCTCTGCCCTCCGTCGCCCTGCTCGCCACGCATGCCGCGGTTGCACGGCTATCTATAGAGAACGGGGCACGCAGCACGCGACGATGCATCGTTCCGCTTCTTCCCGCCCCGGCTACTTTCTTTACGCTTAAACGGCTGCGATCCGTTCACCCAATGTCACTATTATTAACCCTTTCAATTCTATGAATCTGGACATGGTGCTTCAGACACCAGCTACATTGTTAAGTATCTTGCCAATCTATACTCTTATAACTTGTTTTTCGGAGAAATACCACTTCGAAAGAAGTTCCAAACAGAAAATAACGAATCGCGAAGGGCAAGAATACTTCTCGTCCCATCTTTGCTTCTAAACGTCCCAGATCGACCGTTCCCCTAGCAGCGTTCCCTCGTTTTCGACAAAAAGTCAACTAATTACAGCTAATGTATTCCGTCGGGCACTCGCGAGATACAATAATCGTCGGGGAGGGAGCAAGCGGACCGGGGGAATGGGAACGAAGCCGGCGAATTGAAAGTTTTTGCATCGGAACGTCCCTCCGAGAATTACGCTGGATGCCGATGGGGAGTGATGGGGAAGTTTACAGTTTAATTTGCCGGAAAATTATTGAAGGAAGTCGGTACGGGTACAAATCATAACGCTCCGTGAATCCGTACACCGGATATCCCTTTTCCTCCCCACCAACGAACGTTCGATCTCTCTACATCACCCAAATGACTTCTGCCCGACGACGACGCGCGTCTAAGTGTGCGTGTGTATCCGCGAATTCATCCTGGATTATCTGCCGTGAAATTGTCCGATTTGACTCGCATGTTCCATGGCACGCTATTTGTTTCGTCACGTTCTTCGTGCAATAGGGATATTCGCAAAATGCAATCTGAATTTTTATTTCATTGATTTTTATTATTTCATATACAACCAATAATTAGTATCAAGTAATCATTTTTATGAAAGAATTAGTAAAGCTGGAAAAAGCGTTCTTATTAGTATCTCTTGCTGCAACACTTGGAGGTCCGGCCAACTTCCAAGCAGTCGGTGGTGTGTTGACACATGGCACCAATATCGCGTGGTTATCCGTTGAACCGATAGCACCTGTTAACCAAGTAAACCGGTTAACTAATCCCTTAAATCGGACACCTGACGAGGATCAGTTAACCGGTTAACTGGGGTACCCGCAAACACCGGAACGTAATTGGACTGACAGGAAGATGCTAGACGTTTCAACCGGTGCGAACTAGTAGCGTCGGGAATCATAGTTTTAAATGCATCAGCTATTTAAAAAATTCCCTTATTTAGAAGCTACAAGAGGTGTACATTTTTCATCCGGACATAAGCTAACAGCGGTCCACTAAAACCCGCACTTGGACAGCGCCGTGTCCTCGCTGCTTTATGTCGGATTTATGAGGAGGCAAATGGAAGAAAAACACGAGGCGGCGCGTGTTTATTGTCCGAGCCGTGCAAGCTCGCGTGCTTTCCACCGCCACTTCTCACGTTGTTTCGCGGTCTTTCGAGTCGCGGACATAGGACACGTACAGGCGTAACAACCCACGACTATGGGCTTCTGCACTCTTTCCATGCACTCCCCATTCGACCGTCGGGCATTATCCAAGGAAACGCTCGAGTGCTGGCTGAAAATGTTCTCGGTGACTTTCTGAAAGCCATCTTAACTTTCGAGCGTCGCTGAACCCCGCAAGTAGCTTTGTTCAGCGGTTTATGAATTTTGAGGTTAGGTTAACCTTAACCGCTTAGAGGAGGCAGCTCTATGTCTGGCTTTTCACGTGTGCACCCCTCGGCAGGGTGAGAGATCAGGGTTCGCGATTCTCTCGTAGAAATCTGAAGGAATGGTGGAAGGGAGCAACGCGTGTATCGATTCCGGCTCAATAAAAAAGTCATTCGAGAGCTGCAAAGGCATGGTATTGGCTGTAAAACGTTCACCGACTGATAACATCCAGTTGCAGCGAGTGGTGGGTGGCTTCCTGGCTGGTTGGCTCTTTTTCTCCCTCTACCCCAGCCCCTGAGTGGCGATGGCCTGATGGGACAGGGGGCAGGGGAGAAGACTGCGCCAGGATGCCGAGGATCAGGCCGTTATTTAGTTAATGACTATTCTCTCGCTCGTAGGCGCTGCCAGGTCTGGAATACAAGATCGTGTTTGAGATGCTCCGCGTGCTGCCGTTGCTGTTGCTGTTGCTGATGCTGCTAACCCCGGATCCGGGTGCGGGGCCCGGACTGTTCCGCTGCCTCGCTATCTCGTGTAACTGAGAATGAGAATGCCGTGGCCCTGGTGCACGCTGCTATTGCACGCGTGTCCTTGCGCTACCGCCACCAGTTTCGGTCAGCGCCGCAATCACCACCGGGAATGTTACGTATGCGAGAGAAGGAACGGCTGGCAGGGAATTTAGGAACGATATCGTGGAACCGATATTACGTTTATTATAGGCTCAATGCTTTGGATAGCGCAATTAGCCTCTTTTCATAACCTTTTGATGGGCTTCCCTCCAAGTCAATAGAGAAATTAGATCTCACCGTTAAAGAACAGACGAGTTTGCACCGACTAACCAGGATTAAAAAGTTCCTAAATCCATATATATCGTGATTTAGAAGGAATTATCCAAGTTGAAATGTATTTGTCCGGTACTGTAGGTATAGTTTGTATACCTGCGCACCGCGGATCCCTCGGTTACCTCCCCCGCGCCCCATCCCCGCGTTCTTGCAGAGCCTGGCTGCCTTCGTTGGCTCCTAATTAAACATCCAGCTCGCTCGAATCCCCGAGTCGACTTGGCCGTCGATGTTCCGATATTAGTCCCTCCTCCTCCCCCGCGTCTCGCCGCCACCCGACAGTACAGAAATCCCTGTCCGCCTCCGTGTGCACGGAGTAAGCAACGCTCTCTGCGCCTTATAAATAGATTTCGGGAAAAAAGGAGAGACGAGATCGATAGTTGCCGCCGGCAGATATCGCAAGGAGCAGAGGGTGCACACGTTAGGGGTGTCGTCCTTTACGACGCGATACTGGATTTTGAAAAAGCAACCAGAGAAATAGCGATCGTCGATAGAGGGTCCTTTCTCAAATGCGTTCATGCTGCGAACGTTTTTGGCGGGAATCGTTAGGTTGGATTGACTAACCTAACCGACGACGTAGAATATTGCAAACGCACCGAAGCCGTAGCCAGTCACTGACCTTTAAGGGAGTTGATGGATGTAATAGACCGGGTCAATATAGCGTTAGTGCGTCGTTGAAGCTTGATGAAGGTGGCTAAAGTGCTTGTGAAACATTCCCCGCCTACAGAGACGATTTACACCTGACAGACTTTAACATGATCAGTTACGATTGCGTCACCCAATGGCAGAAGGAAGAAAATCTAACCACGCTCCACCTACCTACCTTCATTGTTTAATTAAGTAACGATTATATTACGGCTGTTCTCCAGGTATTTATCAAATGTGACGTCCAGAAGTGAAATGTAGAAGGAAAATGTAGACACCCTATGAAGAAACACCCTGTATATAGCCGGTACAGCACGTAAGTACGTATAGATGAGGAAGGGAGGGGATACGCCCGTTTCCTCCCACAGCTTATCCACCTCCATCACCCTGGAGCCCACGGAGAGAAGGGAAGAAAGAAACCTGGACAGAAATAAAGCAGAAAGAGGGGGGTTTGGGGAGGGAACAGAGGGACGCAACACGCCGAAGAATTGTCTGCGATTTTGTTTTACCTCTCGCGGCTACCTCTCGATCGCGTTCATCGATTTCTCACACTAGCGTCCCCTCCAGGGGCCGTCGTCCCCGCAGGGACAGAAACTATGTGTATGTAATATGTGTGTGAGTCGGAGCCGGTGTGTATGTATCTGTATGTAAAAGAACGCAAAGTGGCCTGAAATCCTGGTACGCGACTCCTCGGTCGGATCTGCGTGCTGTTGCACACACAGGCTATGTGTCTATCTTCGTTGGCGAGGAGGGTTGCTGTGATCCTCGCGCGGAGCAAGCTTGTGGTAAATGCCTGGAATTAGTTCCACGTATCGCTGCTGACGTGGCCGGATGATTGTTGCTGCTGCTGTGCGTATAGGGTGAAAAGGAAATTCTTGCGATACTATCGCCTTTATTCGTTGCAAGTGTCCAGTGACTCGATGGATCATCCACCAATTTACCTAAACTCTGATTTCCCTTAAGAAAAGGACTAAAACTCGCGTGAAAACCGCGAACCGAGATAAACCGTGCGTTTTTCGGTCTGGAAGGATCGAAGTCAGCAGTGGGGGATGGTGGAAACTGCTCGGGCATGGGTTAATCGGTTTAATAGCCAGTCCATCGAGAAAGTTAAAACCAAGCTCCGCGGAAAATGGCCGGTGTTAATCCGTTTTTCAGGCTTCCGGCATGAAATGAGATTTCTGTCGGTCCAGCCCCGGTGAGCGGAGAGATTTACACGCGCCAAGAGCTGTCTTGTTGTGTACGCGAGACCCTGGCGGATTTTAGGGTGTAGAGAGAACTTCTCCGCAGCCATTAGCCGCACACTTGCAAAGCCCACACGACACGATTCATACATTTTCCTGGAGGATGAAAAAACAGCCTTTTGCCGGATCCTGGACGAAGGATGCAGCCTTTGGATTCGTCGTGGCGCGGCTAGGATTCCTCTTAAGTCGCCACCCTTCCATTTTGGATTGTTCCCCCTCTCAAGATTTATATATACCTTCTTTATTAGAAGACTTTACTTGGACATACTGGAAGCGTTAATTAGGTAGATGAAAGAATTAAGAAAATGATCATTAAGTGGTTTCAGACACGCCATCTAAATAAACCTTTTTTTAATATTATAATCTATACAAATCAGAAAATCCATTTCAGAAATTCTGACATACTGCGTACTTAGTGGCATACGCAATTTATCTGTCAATAACATAACCTATTTATTAAGAATTTTAACAACGTTCGTCTAAATGAGTTTACGAGCATTAACATTGAATGTTTCAATAAATTGAATCAACTGTTCGTTAAGCTCTGATATATTCTCGTTTCGCTAAACAGATGTCGAAGGAGAAAAGAACAGCACGTTTATGCAACAGTTCTAAGAGCCTCGGTTTCTCACAAACCTCTGTGAAGATTATCAATTATTAAAGACACGTGGCCGTGCCAGCCTCTCTGCTCTCATCTTGCCGTTCCACGAAAACTCCGTCGCGTATTGCCAACTCCCACGAACTCGATCTAACGATACTATCAGTGATTTTAATAGCATTACCTCTGCATGATTTAGAACCACTCAACGAAGATCGCATTGAACGATTTCTCAATGCACACACTTATATTTAAGGATACTTTAATTATTAGATAGTATCTACAAAGTCGTTTCAGTAATCAGTCATAGGTTAGTAAGAGTTTTCATTAAGCTAGAGGGCGGCACCAGAGGGTAATCTATTCTACTACTTCAGTTGCTATTGTTTTGTAACCTTTATGCAACTGGCTATGTTCGTCTTTCCTTGCTTTCAACTGAAATGTAAATTGCGTCCAACTTAAAAAAAGATTCGCTGCTCCATAAACCGTTGCATCGCAAAAATTGCAACAGAACCGAGATTTTCGAAAGCAAGCGTAGAAAGTCTTTGGAAAGGATGCAGTCGTTTAATTATTCCCCATGCGTCCAATCATATTTTCCATCTGCAGCGACATGATTCATTTCGTGGAACGTGTTGAATGAGAATCGGTTCGTCGGAAATCGAGGAAACTTTTTTGGGGGAATTACCCTCGTCCGCTTCGTAATATGCCGATAATTCTGTATAAAACGGTGATCATTTTAACTCGATGCACGACCAACAAGCATGATAACTATCGCAAAATGTTGAAGCTCTTATGGCCACGTGAAGAACATGCTGATCGAGTAACGGTTAACTGCATCTTGCACGTGTGATACTGTGCAAAATAGACGACCTTGATTATTCAAGGCTCGTTCTTCTTCGCCTCTCAATATTCCTTCTCCTTCGTCTTAAAACTGACACTTTTTTTATCTGAAAGCAGATGGACGAAAATTTGGAAAATTTCATTTGAAATTTCTCACGGTTCCCGTTGAATAGCTCCCGGAGGTTGTTGCGATCGTTTCTACGACATATGTGCTTCTCTAAATTTCAGCAATAACGGTAATTGCGTTATTAAGGTCGAGGGGTGAACTATTCCTAGGGTGGTGACTAGTCCTGTGTACAGCTTGACCCCACTGACCAAGCATAGAAAGGACATAAGCATGGTCAGTGAACGTAGGACGCGTTATACATCATTAGACTCGGACAGGGTAGTTTTCATGAAGCGTTCGTGGGTGTCAGGGAATCGCCAGATGGTCTTTTCCAGTAAACAGCAACGATACGTTTGGTAAATGAACTGTTTCAGCGAGGAAATTCGTTGGATGTTCGTTAACAGAGATCCTTTCGTCTTGGGACCGATGGTGATACCCCTTCTTATTTATTTAAGAGGCTGTTTCTATCATTTCCTCTTCTAATTTTTCACTTATTAATTCTTTGATAATTTATTTATTTAAGGAACATTTGGTAGCAGTTGAAAATTGAGTTGAAAGTTAAACAGAAGTATAAATTTCTTAGAAAACAGTAGCTCGTAGATCGGTTCTTCCCAATTACTCAGAAAGGGTGAACCAGTATCTTTGTACACAGATGTTTCAACCCCTGCAGCGATCGCACATCAGGAACAACCATACGAATTCTCGTACAAGGTGATTGGCTACCGTGGCAGAAGCTGATGAGAAGAAAAAGGGGCCAGACGGAATATCGCAGAACGCTGATGATGATTGCTAGCCCACATGTTCGGACACACGGTGGACCTCCGTTCCTTCGGGGGTTAGGGCGTCGATTTTCAAGTACTTCAGACTGACCCCCCTCTGTCACTCTACATACACGCACACTCTGACGAATCAATTCGCACATAAGGCTGTAAACACGATTCGCCGATGGAACTCGTCGAGTGCTGACACTCGGACCCGTGAAGAATCGTGTCCGAGAAGTGTTTGCAGTTCGAAACATGGGAGTAATGGAAGGAATATCGAACGCGTATGTTTGCGCAAGGGCCATAGAAAGAAGATGGTAGATAGAATTTGAGAGGGTTAGGTTAATCCCATTAATCGTGCCGATGGGCGGTGTATGGGAGGGTTAATTATTCGCAAGAGGACGCGTTAAAGGAGGCAACGAATCAGGAGAAGCGGGATAACTCTTATACGGCAGAACGGGTAAATGTCGCAGATTTGGTTGGCCGAGAGGAAAGAAAAGCAACACGGGCTCGGGATTCAGCTGGGCGAAACAACACGTGGGGGTTACAGAGGAGCCAGATAACCGGTTTCGATCGGTCCAACACGCCCGAAACATAAACGGAACAGAAAGCCCGTCGGCCGTGTAACCGTTCGCAATCTGTATACATCAATACGTGTAATTTCGAGCGACGGTATCAGCACCAGCAGTGGCAGTGTATGATCCCGTCGGCTGCAGCTGCATCCCCGATGCCTGCATCCTCTCTCTATCTCTCTATAGTCACGAATTGTACGCGATGTTCTATACGGCTCACAAGTTTCCCTGAGAGGGGGTGGGAGGCTGAGCGACCGTTTCCCGG